GCGGATCATGAAAGTCAGAGGATCGAGACCATCCTGGTGCGTAACATGTGAAACCCCGTCTCTTACGTAAAAGAAATACAAAAAACTAGCCGGGCGAGAGGCGGCGTGTGGTGGGCCCTGTAAGTCCAGCTACTCAGGAAAAAAAAAAGCCAGGTGCGGTGGTTCAGTGTAATCCCAGCACTTTGGGAGGCCAAGGTGGGCACATCACCTGAGGTCAGGAGTTCGAGACAGCCTGACCAACATGGAGAAACTCCCTCTCTACTAAATATACAAAATTAGCCGGGCATGGTGGCATATACCTGTAATCCCAGCTACTCGGGAGACTGAGGCCGGAGAATCACTTGAACCCGGGAGGCAGAGGTTGCAGTGAGGCGAGATTGTGCCATTGCACCACAGCCTGGGCAACAAGAGCAAAACTCCATCTTGTAAGGTTAGCCGAGAGAAAGAACGAGTAGACCCAAAGTCAGGCAAGCAAGTTTATTAACCTGCTGGGCTGCCCCACAGCAATCCGAGGAAGCAGCAGCCCGGGCTTACAGACTAGAGGGTATAAGTATATTTTAGGGAGGGCGCAGGGGCGCCTAGGGGCTGTTTCTGGGTAAAACCACTTCCTGGTTGATGGGCAGATGTTAGGGGGAAAAAACAACAGCTGGGGAACATCTGCCTTGGCGGAGGACCTGTAGGCGGTGAGAAAAAGAGGGGACAGAGAAAAACGGGGTGGGGAAAACATCCGCCTTGGCGGAGGGCCTTTGCTGGGTTGGGTCCCTAACATTCCAGCCTTTAATAGGTAATAGAGAAGGGGTGTCATTGCCTTCTGACTGCTTCTAGCTGAAGAGGGGTGATGTTTATGGAGAAAGGCTGTGGGGTTGGTACAGTTGTTCTTGAAGCCGCTGGTATTCTTGAAGTAGCATCATGTCTTGTACTGACCCATCGAGAGCGAGCGAGGGCTGTTAGCACGTTGTCACCTCTCATCATGGGCGAAGGCTCTAATACGGTCCCGTAAAAACTGGGTAAGGAGATGTAGGAGGCACGGGCCAAATGCTAAAAGGAGAAAAAGGGTTATGGCAGGGCCCAGGAGGGGCATTAGCCAGGGTGCCTAGGGGTTACGAAACCACTGGGGCCAGGAGTCTGAAAGGCGCTGCCTGATTTCAGAAGCCCTTTCATTTAACCATCAGGCTGCATGTCGTACTAGTCCTGACTGGTTAGTATAGAAACAGCACTTGTCTCCTAAGAAGATGCACAGTCCACTTTTTTCGGCAGTGAGGAGATCTAAACCTCAACGGTTTTGAAGTGACACTGCTGCTAAAGAGTCTGATTCAGCCTGTGCAATGGGTGGTTGCCGCGCCGTGTGAATGTTTGACAGCACTGTTGGAGAGGCGAGGCGGGGAGTACAAAGGTCAGAATCGCGCGATCCTGGCAACACTGCTGGAAGCCCCCGCTGCTCACGAATAAGTAGCAAAGAAATTAGACTTGGGCATGGTGGGCAGGTGCCTGTCGAGTCCCAGCTACTTGGGAGGCTGAGCAGAGGTAATGGCCGTAGATTGGGAGGCGGAGTTGCAGAGCCCAGCTGGCGCCTGGCACCAGCTGGGCGACAGAGTGAGAGACTCGTGTCTCAAAAAAAAAAAAAAAGTCTATTTGGACTGGAGAATAAGGATAGATTCAGCTATGTCTTGTAGGCTGTCCAAGACGATCTTTTAGAGACCGTGATAGTAGGACAGAGAGGTGGACAAGTGTTTGGGTGATAAGGCCAACACCAGGCCGTGGGGGCTACAAAGTCCAGCGGATCAGAGAATGAGAAAAGACGAGAGAAAGTGGGACCAGGGGACCAACTCTAGTATGGAGGCTGCGAAGGACCTGAGCTCTGGGAGCCCACGCTATT